TCGGAATGGTCAAATTTCGCTCACATAACTCGCATATAAGTGGGCCATGGGAAGTTCGTTCAAAAAAAACAATATAATAATAATAAAAACCCCAAAGTTTCATAAAATTTAAACTCCTCGGGTGTTATTTATGTCTCCGCCTTGTATTAAGCCATAAAAAAGTTGCCAATTATGGGCTTATTCAACCAAAACTGCGTATCATTTAATCAAACTTTACCTATAAATAATATGGCCTTGTATCTATATTTTTTGTTATAAAGTCAAAGGTTTGGTTACTATATCTTTATTTTGACCTATGTTTTTTATATAGAATTTAAAATATAGTGAAAGATCTTTGGTATGAAAAATTTCAAGGAGAGTTCATTATTATTATAGGATTGTTTTAGGCCAAAATGGTATTTAGACAAAGAGATGATTGATTCCTTAAATGACAAAATCGTTTTTGAATGATAAAAAGTTGTTTGCTTAATTAATCAACGCGTATAAATGAGCTTGAATTTCATGCACGTGCAAAATAATTTAATAAATCAATTAAATAATAAAACAGGCTTTGACTTGAAATCATAACCAAAACCATTCGCTGGTAAAGCGATTCAATCTGAAAATATCTTTATTGGTATCAACTACTTCACGCTAAAAAATAAAATTTTGAAATTTGATACTGGATTTGGGCTACTATCTCTGGGTGTGTCATTTAGTATTTTATTACTATGTGAGTTCACTAAGAAGTATGGGAATATTGGGTCCGTTAAGCCCGTTAAACTACTAGCACCATGTGTGTTATTGCAGTAAAACGAACGTTTTGTAATGTTTTATGAATAAACAAAACTTCATGCCCATTCATTACGACATACTATTTATTACTCGACAAAATAAATTTTTTTTGGTTTTTAAAAAAATTATTAAGCAAATTGTCAGTTTTAAACTTTCGAAATTAACAAAATCCTTCAAAGAAAAAATTAAAAAATAAAATAACAAACAGAGGTGAATTAAACTTATTAAATGTTTCGCTTATTTATAATAATAATAAAGGGAAAGGTTGATGATGGAATATTAATCTATTTTTTAAATATATCATTGTTGATTACGCGCTATTTCATAAAAATGCCAGAAAGAAGCAGATTTGTATTATGAATGTATAATAATGCTTTGTCGAATTTTTATGAGAAAATAAAAAGTTGTTTTTTTTTCATTAATCAAAGAAAATAAGGAACCTTCTGAAATGGAAAAAAATATTGTAAAGAAAAAGTTTATTCATGATTTTGAATTAAATAATGCAATTTATAAAAATGGCCAACCAAAAGAATGTAACAAGTGTAAATTACTCTGATAAATTCTGTGAAGGCTGAGTCTTTTCAACACTTGGAGATCTGGAAATGAGATGGTTGATAATTTTATTCAACAAATGAAGTCATCATGATTCCTTTTGATCATTTTGAAGATATAAACAAAGTTAATTGAAGGTTAATTGAAGGTGGGTTAGTTCAATTTATATTGTACTATGAAAAAGAGGTTATCATTATATAATAATTCAAATAATCAAGGAAAACATTTTTTGATGAGGCAATGGATTTTATTTAAAACAAAATATTAACACTGTTTATATTTAATTACAGGCAACGAATTATTTTAAAATTACATCAGGTCCCAATTATTCCTTGTCATGCATGCATAACCAAATTCCCTGATAATGGAAATTATGTAATGGTTCTTAATTAAACATTAAAGATAGAATTATAATCTTTGAATATTTTCCAATGCATAAGCTCCGGAAATAATGTTTTGATAAATTAAAAAAGATCTACACAACATCTCGGAGAAACATGTGATTGTAGATTTCAAGGGGTTTTTACAATTGTTTTTGAAATTTTAAAGAGCAATATCTCGAAATATTGTTATGCAAAGTGGATATGGTTTCTAAGCCAAAAATGATCTATGTGAAGAATTACATATAGGAGCAGCGTTAACTCTGAATTTCGAAAAGCCCCGTTTATGTGATGCATTATATATATGATAGATTTGGGATTATGCGGACCAGTTGACGCAAAATTATCAGATAAAATCAATGGAGTTGTATCATCTATTGCACCTGAGCTATTTAGAGGCTAAGTTAATACAAAGAACACAAAAATATATTTATGTTAATATGGGAAATATTTTCTGGCCATCCACCATTTGATGATAGAGCTCGTGATCGTTGTTTAATTGTTGATATATGTGAAGATTTACAACTATCAATATTATCAGGAATACCTGATGATTATTCACAAATGTTGATATGGATTGATCTATCCAAAAGATCAAACAACTATCGGAGAACTTGGTCAATTTGCCGACAACAAACTAAGAGAAATTCTTGAAAACGAAAATTTGAAAAATAATAACGATGACAATAATAGATTAATAAAAAGTTTTCCAAAATTAAAAACATAAAGTTGATTTTAACAATGATGGCAGCAGCAGCACGGTAGTAGTGGTAATGGTCGCAATTCGCAACAAGTACACAAACCACATCAAGATGCATATCATACATGTAGAATATTAGGTGATGAAATTGCTAAATCAAAAAGCTTAAAAAAAGTTATACGAGTAATGATAGTTCAGTAAATAATCTTGATTTTAACTCTATTCTCTTAAATGCTGATTTTAACAAAGGTGAAAAAAAGGTTCATTATAAATTACTATTCATTGATTATCACTAACAATATTTTTCATTCCTATTAATAAACATTAGATTCTAGTAATAGTAGTAAAAGAAAAGATGTTGAGGTAGATGAAATTGGTAAATTGTCAGCGGATGACTATAAATTTATCATTGTCAGCAACAAATTCAAGAATAATTCATCAATCTATTAATAATTTTTCATAGACCCGGATTTCAAAAAGTGAAACAAGAAGAGTTGGAATTACTGTTTGCAAAATCAATTTACCAATGTGATTTATTCTTTCTTTATCTGAATTAAAACCAATACGAAATTCGTGGGAAAAGGCATGACCGAATTTTAAATTACCTGGGAGAAAAAAATTTTGCCTTGCCTTTTTTCCCCAGCGGGGAGATTGTTTTGTCATCTATCAAATCCTGCTGTAAACGGCGAAAACGCAGGTCTTTTGAGCGAAAAGCAGATGGTATTTTCCTAACACTCCTGAAAAGATCATTTATTGATATTGGGCATCTAGAAATGAGCGGATATCAATTACGTTGTTAAATAAAAGTATTTGAAGAAACAGGATTAAGTGAATGTGCTTCACGCGGGTTTCTTTAAAATCTGCCAGTGTTGGTTGCAGTTTGCCCTTACAGATTGAGTCGAAAGTTTCAATGAAAGACTATAATACTTTTCTTAACTGCAACGAATCAACAGGATACAAGTACAAGTTTTAGTTAATTGACATATAGGCTTAAATTGTTGATATGGCCAACCCAGAACACGCAACTGCTTCAAAACTTCTTTGGAATTCCCAACTGTGGGATCCTCCAATAATGGTTCTTGGATAACATGCAAGAGATTTCCTTCTGATCTGGCTTGTAATATAACATTTTGCATTTTCTCAATAGATCATTATGGTTCATCTGGAGATAGAAATTTTTTTCATCAAATGTTACAATCTGTCTGGATGTAGCGTATGTTCTGAAACCCCATTCTCCTGCATCCCAGGCCTCCCTCCTCCCTCGCAACATAAACGTACTTTGAGTTTGTATATATCATCATATTTATTTTGAATTACTTTCCTAATATTAATTAATATGTCCACATAGGAAATCCCCATGTACAAATAATCTGTGAGGTAAGGAGACACCGATCTCTGTGAGACAAAATGCAAATTGATAAGGAACGATATGTGTGATATCTATTTGGCAATCAAACTTCATAACGTAAGGAGCATACAAAGACAAGTTCGTTGGTAAATGACAGTCAGTATGTCTAGCTACCTGTTTCATTATTCTATAGTTTGGTCTTGTGAGGGGGTTTTTTTTTGATATCAGGGCATCAAGAAGTGCTTGCCCAAAAGGTAAGATTGGTCCACTGTTAGTATGTTTTATAATCAAACGTTGGAGGCTTAAAACGTAACTTTCACAATATGATAGTGGGACTTTGGAACTATGCAAAAAAAAAATAGCAATACCCCTACTGGTTGCATTGCTCCAAACCTTATTACTTACCAAGTTAATATTCCAGCGTCAAATGTTTTCTGGGATGGATCCACCAATTGTTGTGAGAATTCTAAATGTTACTGGGTATATTGTAGTGGTCTCTCCGCCAATCATCACCAATAATTTTGTAAGGGATTCAACAAATAGTTTTTAAAAACACAGCAAGTGTAATTTACAACATTCATTAGTAGTGTACGACACAGATCTAGTAACTTTTAATAATGGAAGTATAAAGAACTTCCAACTACAGACAGGTGTGGTAAAGGAATGTAAAATCGTATAATAAAGGTTCATTAGCAAACAGGCTATAAAATGCAGAGAAAATTTTGCTAAGCACGGCATTATTAATTTTTAATGAAATGGTTAATAAAAAATAAAGTAATCGCAAGGTTGCATCTTTATTGTTATTAATAATGTCATTTAATTATTAATTATTTTGATAGAATTATGTGAAATCCTGAAGGTGAAAGAAATAATTATAATATAAGGATGAGAAAATAAAATTTCAATGTAATGAAGTCTATCTATGGTATAATTGAATTCAAGATAGATATTTGTTTCAACATGTCTAACAAGTAAAATATTTTAGTTAGGTTGTATTATCGCTATCCACATTCATCTAAAAAAAAAAAAGGTTAATTTATCATTTGTTCAAACTAGCCAAATTCTTGATATAAATCTTTAACTTCTCAAAGTTTTGAATTTAGACTAATTTTTTTTAAAAAGAAATTAAGAATGATGATTATGTTAATGGAATAAAAATATATCAATAAAAAAAAATAATAGTCATGATAATAATGATGATGATTATAATAATTACCTTTTGGAATATCAAGCACATATTGAGATTCTACGTAACTCTGAGCACATCCATCATTCTCAAACAACAGTTCTTTTTTGATGATGTAATCTTACTAAGTGGAGGGACATCAATTGCTTCGTAAAAGCATGTTGTTTCTGAGTACAATGCAAGGGGCAGGGTTATATTTTGTAAATTCATGTTTTAATTTCTCCTTTATTTGCAATTGGAAGAACATGATTTTTCGGGTACATTAAAATGTCTAATATATATATATATATATATATATATAAAATATATGATAAATATAATTTGTCTGATAATAAATAATAACGAAATGAAATGAAAGTCGATTTATTACCTATTTGATGCCTCATAACTTTATTGATTGATGATGGAAAAAATAGATTAATGAATGTGATATTTGTTAACAATAAAATAATAGAATAAGGAAAAAAACTTACAGTTTAACCTCAGGTTCATATCCAACTGCAGTTTGCCAAGATCCAGTTTTGTTCTAATGATTTGATCTCTGGCTGCCTAAATAGCAACTATTATTATCACCATTAAAATTTGTATAATTAAATTTTTATATAATCTCCTGATCGAATAAATTTTCTTACTATAATCCTATTTTTAATGATGCTATTAAGTTTAAAATTTTCCTATTGATTAATTATAAATGAGAATTTTGAAAAACATTATTATAAATTAATCAGTTGATTGGTTGATTTTGATATTTAATGTTGACGCTGGTTTCCTTAATTTTTTAGGTGGCGGAGATGACAAAGTTGCTATTTCTTGTTCTTTTCTTTTTCTTTTCTGATTATTATTATTGTTGTTGTCGTTGTTGTTATTGTTGTTGTTATCGTCGTCGTCATCATCATCACAACCTTTTATAATTAAGTTACCTATATATAATTAATGAGCAAGTGGACGAAGTGGGTGAGTGAACGTGAATGAAATAACAAGAATGGTAAAAAGTAATTATAAACTAATTTTACCTGTTGCTCGGTCATATTCGTTGTCATGATGAGGTTTCATTAATAACAGTTTATCACAGTGACTTAGGATTATCTTGGTGATTCTTTCAAGATATATATATATATATATTTAATAATGATAATAAAAATAAAATAAAAAATAAAAATAAATTAATATTTACTCTTCTTCGCAAACTGTCTGGTCTATCATGTCAGCGTATAAGGATTTAAGGGCTTCTTTAATTTTTGGTGCAATTGCGCCTGCTAAAACAATTTAATAAATAATAATAATAGTAATAATTAGTGCGTGTGAATGAAAGTTAATAAAAATATCTGACTTCAAATTATTTACTTTGTTGTATTTTTTCATGATAAGTATTAATTTGATTGTTGAGTTCTATCCCTCTTTCTTCTATTCTTTCATACAACTTGATGTAATCGTTAATTTGACTAATTAAATAATCTTCTTCTTTAGTGTTTGAAGAATTTGAATAAGGTTGAATAACACTTTTTACAAAATCCATTGTATTAATTTTTTGTTTATAAAAAAATTTTCTTAATATCAAGGCAAGCGATATTATTATCAGTTTTTAATTAATTATTATTGACGATCTGTGAACGAGTGAGATCGGCGGGCAAAAATCGTCACATATAGTCAGTTGACAATGTCCAACAAACAATAAAGTACAATATGTTTGTATCACAAACTTTATTCTTTTTTATGTATGTAGTGTAAACCTTATTTATAAGATGCAATAACGTGAGAAGGAAGAAAAGTCAAAAACGGTATCATAATTTCAAAATAGTCTAGAGAAATTGGTAAAAGAGATCATTATAGAAAAATAAACGACAATTAATTAGAAAACGTAAAATGATAACTGTAATTATATAACAAATAAAATTTTCAAGTTTGGTATAATAACACATGTTTAAATCGAAGAACAATCCATGATTGTTGATTTGATTGTTGATTTCAAACTTCGCCTCGTTGAATATCCCTATTTTTATTGGATATGTGTACTTGTGATCAATACGAAAAATTGTTTTTCACCATACCATATCAATATCAATATTAATATTAATATTAATATTTAATATTAATACAAAATATTCGATTTTCTGGGAAGTTTATTTTAACAAAAACGATATGATCAAATAATTTATTTTATTTTCCATTTCGCTCATCACTCTTTCGTTAATTAAAGAATAGATTCCATCTTTTTGTTCTGTTTATATCATAAAAGCGATATAATTTAAAATTTCCGGTTTTCCTTTATTGATTTTTACTAATCTATTATTATTACCACTATATCACATTTAATTTTTTATAATCATCTGCATTTCCTATCTTCGCTACAAAACAATCCTATTGATTCTATTGTAATAAAAGTATAAATATAAATAGCAATGATAAATTCAGTAGGAAGATATTTTCTTTTTGTTTTTAAAGTATTTGATTTTGTAGCATTTGAATTGTTTTCATGATGCTTTTTTTGCCTTTATGACCTCCATCGTTTATTACGAATGGAAGATGTGTTAATTGAAAAGTTCGTTAGATATATCTTATATAATAGCAAAATAATAATAACAACACACATTGAAAGAAGGATATTAACATTTCAAAATTATTCAGTATTATTGTATTTGAATCATTCATAAATGCAATAATAAATTGAATCCAATTTTTCTGCTACAAAATTTAGCATGATTGAATAATTAGATTTTCATATAGTTTCTTATTATTAACCATAATGTCTTTCTTTATAGCAAATAATGACACTGGCTATATAATCATTTTCATTTAATTCTGCATTTTAACATCGTATCGCTTATTTCATGAACATGTTCATTGTATTCCTTGAACCTATTTAAAATAGTAGTTGTATCCGCCGAATGATATTCACCAATTATTCACCAATTATCCAGTTAATTGGGTATTGAAAATTTTTCATTGATTAATTAACCGGGTGTTGAAAATTTTCACCAAATAATTGGTGAATAA